CAACCATACCCTCCCCAAAGAACTGTGTTCCCTGAGGTGCCACTGATTTCCACAGGTTTCTCCACAAACTGCCACATGTTAACATTTACAGGAGCTACCTTAAATCTGAAGTCATAATTTCACACATTACATCTTTAAGTAAAAAGGATGGAAGAAGAGAAACAGTAGGAAGTGGAAACACTTCAGGAGATTTGCTTAGAATCAGCATTTGAGAATAACCCTTCGATACTTCACCTGTTCTAACTGGCAGAGTAGGTGTCATCAGAAGGAACCCCAGAAGTTACTGTCTGCCTGTCTACCAATAGTTCTCTTATTAATGTATTATTCTCATTTCTGGATTCTACCGTAATACAACTGAGCATTAGTTCATCATATTCCTCTATCTTTGCACCTCAAAATATGACCAAGATGTTTTCCTCAAGTGCTAATGAAAAATGAACTCCAGTTAAAAAATAATGTCGAAATTGTGCCCTGAATAAAAAATAGATACTGCTATTAGTCAGCTAATAGGTATACAAAAATGACTTCAGAAATTCAGAAATAGAGGAGGATTTAGCCACATGTTTTATTACATAAACACTGGGGGGAAATCATGTTGAGGATTATTTACAAACTAACCTCATGAAAAAAATTTCTTCCTTAACTTTCAAAAACACTGCAACTGTCAGAGAACCAAGAATTTTAGAATTGAAAGAAGCTTTGTGACAATCTAGTGCATGACCTTGCATTCATCTACATTCTGTTCTGCAGAAGTGCTTATAATTCTTTACCAAAATTAAATGGAGTACATCCCAAACATAAAGCTTATGATTTACAACCTGCCTGTGATAGATGCATTCTAGTATTTTCTTCCTTCATACTGAGTTTTAAATTAAAAAAAATCTTTAGTCTTGTAATGTTTATTTTACCATCTTCTGATGATGTACTATCATGGAGATGGTAAATAATTAATTGGAAAGTGTTTGATCGATGTTAGTAAACACTTGTCCCTTCAATAAATCAGTCCATGATGTTTGAGTATGCAGATTTCTGACTGCTTCCTGCAAGTGGCATGAGATTCCTAGCAAAGGGAGATATGGAACCAACATATCAGAAAATCAATAGTGAAGTAGCTTTCATTGATACCTTTTCTTTAGAAATGCATCCTTGGTACACAAGGTGTTGAGCGCTGGGGAATTCCGGGAGAAGTGTTCCAGTTTTTGAGCTAAGTGAATATTTACGAGTGAAGCCACCCTATAATTTAGAAAAATGGAAAGAAATAAAATCATTATTAAAAATACAATTATAATAAGATAAGGACCCATAAAAATTTCATTCTTTGTCCTAAAACCCATGGAAATTGAGATTTAGGTAAACTGTTTAAATTGTGTAACTGAATCAACAAGACATGTCAACAGAATTATTGTTTCCATACCATAAATAGTTTCATAGTCAGGATAAATTTCCTATTACTTTGGATTTTAGCTTTGAACATTTTCTAGTTTTCACAACTTTTAGAGATTTTAGTTCACATTTTGAAAGGTCTACTATTAGAACTATTAAAATTATTATAACTCTGAGAGAATAAAGAATTGCCAAACCCAGCTTCCTTATTTATGAATTAAAGAAATGTAAGTTAATTTAATTATTCAGTCTCAGAGATAATTAACTGTAGAATTTTGATTAGAGTCGAAGTCTTCTAACCCCCAAACCAGTACTCTGGACTTTCTCCCCTCAACCTTCCCCCAACCCTAAATGAAGATATTTGTTCTTTAGAATCTCTTGGGGAAAACACATCTCTATCTGATTTTGGGTTTTAGCCCTGTTAACCTTTAGTTATGGAAATGGATAATGGTAATCATTGTGTGAAAATTACAGATAGAATACGAATAAATGTTAAGAGTAACTTTATACTTTTAGAATAATATGTATAAAATATATTTATGATATGGAATATACAGATTTTAACACACAATATATTTAAAAAAAATACCCACTAAGCATAGAATTTTTAAATTACATTCATCAAAAGACACTATAGAATGTTGAGTTATGCCACCAACAGTGAGAAGTTATTTACAACCCAGAATTTCACTCCTGCACATGTGCACTTGAAAAATATTCATAGAAATACTGTTTTCCAAGGAAAAGTTTCCACCAACAATGGAATAAATGCATTGTGATATGACATTTTTATACAATATAATACTATACAGAGTACAAATAAAGGTACTAGAACTACATGTATTAACATTGATGAATCACAAAACCTAATGTTGAATGAAACCAGAAAGCCACAGAAAAAAAAATGAATCCATTTCTATGAAGGGAAAATAATAAACAATGCATTGGTAATAATAAGATGGACAATAATAAACAATATGTAAAATTTACTATCTTAATCATTTTTTAAGTATACAATTCAACAGTATTAAGTATATTCAGGTTGTTATGCAATTATCACCACATGTTTAGGTATTCATTCATAGTGGTAACCTTTAAGGAAAAACAAAGGACTGATTAAGACCAAATTCTGGAGAGCAGAAACTTTTGGTGTCATGGGGAGGGAAATGATTGGGATAGGGCACACTTCTCTCTTTTAAGCTATGAGGTACATCTTCAGTTTTTAATCTTATGATTATTTTTAAAATTGTGTGTGTGTATGTGTGTGTGTGTGCTGCGAATAATATTACATTTCCCAATAAAAATTTGAGTGTTAAAGAAACACATATTAAAGAACAAAATATATGTTCTATTTTAATATTTATTTAAAGCTCTCATGTTGATAAATAATAGTTTTGTGTAACAGAAGCTATCAATTGTGTGGAATATCAAGAGTGCAATGGGGGGGAAAGGAGGACCTATGTAATATGTTCAATAGTAAAGATTTCTTTTTTTTAAAAGAGTGCTACTGGAAGGAAAGGGCTTAAAATTTAAATTTGTTTGAATCTGTTACCAATTGTGTCAAAGCTGTTATAAAATCAAATAAGATCTGTCCAAAACAGAAAACAGAAAAAAAGAAGGATTGATAAATTAGCATAGAAAGTAAAATATAACAATTTTGATTCAAGGAATGTGTTTGCTATTTTAATGGTAGTAGGAGGTGCCAGATCGTAGGCCAGCTGCAGAGATCTGAATTTTTTTTTTCAACTGATGACTTCAGTACTCTTGAGTAAACTATTTTAAAATCTTATTCCCAAAAGAAAATAGAAAGGAACCTACAGAAAAGAAGCCATATGATTAGAAGGCAAGAGGGTCTGATTTATGAGGAAAGATTAAAGGAATTCAGTTGCAGTCTGGCTAAGTGATGACTAAGAGAGAGCATGATAACACTCTACAAATATTTGAAGAGCATATACCAAGAAGGAAGGATTTGTTATTTATCTTGGTACAAAGTTGTTGAACTGGCCATGAATAGTTGATGTTAAGGAGAAGGAAACTCAAGCTATCAGGGAAACTTCCTGGTTGAAATGTATGAAATGGCAGAAATTGAGATACTAAGGGACTTTTTCCTTAAGAAATAATGGCAAATCAGTACTTTAGCTGGTTAAAACACAATAAAATTTGAAGCACTACATTTATGAATAAAAACTATCAAAATTCATACTACTGACTGATAATTACTCTTACCATCCTCTTTCTTTTTTGTTTTGCTTTTGTTACTTTTGTCTGCTTTTATACTAAGAACTACTTAAAGCTTTTTAAAAAGTATAGATTAAAAATTAATAAATACCCTTGTACTCACCACCTTGATTAAGACATTAGACATTTGAAACGTTAAAGCAGCTTCTATAGCTCTCTCTAATCTCTTTCCCTTCCTTCCTCAAAGAAATAATTAATATTCTGGATTTGGTTATTATCATTCCTATTCAGATCTCTAAGATTTACTTCATGTGTAAATATTCTTAAGCAATAAGTACTATTGCTTTAAAAATGGTACAAAAAAGTATGTATCCTTGTAAGTTCAATAAGCTTTTTTCACTCAACTTTAGGTTTTTAAAACTAATCTAATTTGGCTCTTACAGTTATAGTTCAGTCCTTTCTAAAGAAGTATAGTGTTCTCTCATTTAAATATATATAAAACATGTTTTCCCATTATATAATAATGGCCTTTTAATTTTTAATATTCTGAAATTATAAACAATACTTTTATGAACATCCTCAGACAAGCCTTCTGTGCTCAGTGTGAAGGTTTCTCTAGGAATGCAGTTATAAGGTGTGTGCACCTTCAATTTTACTGCTTACTGTCCCTAATACTGCTTATGAGAGTTCCTTTCCTCCACATTCTCAAAACTGTATTTTTAGACTTTTTAATTGCTCATATTCCAATAATAGTTAAATAATTACTCACAGTTTTAATTTGCATTTCTCTAGTTAAAAGTTTGAATTGAGCCCTTTTCATATGTTTATTGGCAAAAATGGTATCCAAAATATTAGGGCCACATGTTCTGGAACCTGATCAGTCAGAATGGGCTCTATGAACAACATATTATGCAGTAGTCATTCTTTTTATCTTGTGAGATCTGCCTGTTCATCTTCTTTACTATATTTATATTGTGTTGTCTTATTATTTTTGAGTTGAATACTTTACATATTCCCAAATGGTACTGTTCAATAGAACTTTCTGTGATGATGAAAATGCTCTTCTTTAATTTGCACTTAACTAGTACCATTCTATAAGCATGAAAGAGTTCATTCCTTACATATAATGAATGCCTTAGGGCTACACTCCCTCTGGGCATCCTAATTGGAAGAGCTGGGACTTCCTTTAAACTCTTCAAACTCTTTTTTCCTATTATTTTCACTCACTGCAGATGACCTAACTGACCACTGACTAATTCCTCAGAGAGAAGTCTGAAGCCACCAAACTACTTCAATTTCTGCCACAAAATCTGCAAATCTACTTGCATCCGAACTTAAACTTTCCACCTCCAGTTTTAATGAAAGGAGTGTTCCTTCTCCGGAGCCACTTCCTTCGTCCATGCCCACCTTCAGTGACCTTGTGCTCTCAACTTTCCCCTCTCTGTCTTTCATATCTACAGTGTCTACTCTTACCAGATGTGCTTTACCCACATTAGAATGATTGTCTAATTGTTCCTAAAAACTAAATTTTAAGCCCTTCCCCAAGTATCACCCTCAATGTGACTAAATTTTCTATATTCAATATACCACTTCCCACTCATTTTTAAAAGTATATTTTTATTGATTCAGAAATGAAGAAAGAGGGAGAGGGAGAGGGAGAAGGAGAGGGAGAGGGAGAGGAAGAGGGAGAGGGAGAGAGAGATGATGAGAGAGAATCATTGATGGGGTTCCTCCTGCATATCCCAATCAAGCCCACAACATGGGAATAGAACCATGATCTCCTGGTTCACAGGTCAATGCTGAACCACTATGCCATGATGGTCAGTCTTCCCCCTCATTTTGTAAACAAATCAAACCCAGCTCTCCACTGAAAATGCTCTCCCTGAAGTCATTAATTATCTCCACTTAACTAGTCCCATTGATATTTTCCAGTATCTTGACGACCTTTTAGTGCCATTTCATAGTAGTAGCCATTCCCTTTTATTGGAAGCAATTTTTTTTTCTCTCAGCTCTCTGCCACAATATTCTCCTCCTCTTAGCGCTCTACATTTTCTTCAGTTATCTTGTTAACTTTTTCTTCTATCTCCCTTTTCACAACTCTTATAACCTCTTCTCATTTATTTGTTTCTAGACATTTTAATCCATTACCCTGGCTTCAGTCACTATTAAACTAAATATCTAAGTCCTCTTTCTTGTCCTAACACTGTGATGCTGCTAAACATCCTACAGAGCGCAGGACATTCCCCACAACACAGAATTATGTGGCCCCAAATGTAAATAATACCATGTCTGAGAAACCCTAATCTGTGCTGTTCCAGCTGTAAAGACCACTTTCCCACTCCCTTCCCCTACTGCACTCCTCCTCTAAATTCCCACTTCTCAGTTTTTTCCTTAAATGTCATTTCCTCTGGGAAATGTCCTTAGCCACTTCACCTATGTTAACTACCATGAGACCCTTTATAATCACTTAAGATATGTTTTCCTGCTACAATGTAAAGGGTCAAGTCTACCCACTCACTATTGTGTTCCCTAGTCTCTGTAACTCCATAGATCTATCAATATATTGACCATGGGTTTTAAAAAATAGAACTTTACTGAGAACATTTTAGAAAGCAAATGTATCTCTTAATCTCAATTTCCTCAGTTATAAACTAGCAATGTTAACATCTATTTTTCCCTATCTCACAGTTATTCACGTTCAAGTCACCAGAAATATGAACATTAATCAGTATTAATGTTCAAATGATTTACATTGAAAGTCTTGGGTCCTGAGCAAACTATAATGGTCACCTTAAGTACAATTTTTTTTTCAATTTTGTTAAACAAATATTTTATTATTTTTTAAGTATCTAGTGTAGTTCTGAGCCTTTCGAGAATCCTTATGGTGTTCATGTCTATAATCATTATCATAATGGCACTCTATTATTGCTTCAGGTATGTTTAGAAAAATAGGCTACATAGTCTAACCAAAATCATTTATTTTCACTTTATCGACAAAATCTACACCTGAATTTGTCATGGGCTCTTCTGAGGATGAAGCAGAAGACTTGAGGTACATTTTCCTATTATTCTGTAAATCAAGGCCTGCCATACACGTGCTGTATCAGCTGACAGTGTGCTAGTACACCATCTCCACCAAAGTGGCAGAAAAAACACCAGAGAGAAGTCACTTAAATTCCCTGTTGACATAAACTTTAGTCAATATGCTTGCACTTTCACAATTGTTCATCTAATAAAGAGCTATTATTTCATTGATAAAGAGAGCAGCCTAGAGCATTTTATTATATCACTAGCCATTAAATACATTTAAAAACACTGGTGGGAAGAAATTGGTCATTTCAGAAGATTGGGGTTTTATATTTTTTTCTTAAGATAATGTGCTTGCATCATTTCACCAAACTAATGGAGCTACCATTTACCTCAGGCCCAGATTCACCACCCACCACAGTGTCATGTGCCCTTAGCTCAGTGGCACCTCTTTTTCAGTTAACTTGATAATGAAGGCCTTATCATGAGCTTAATTAGCCATGCAGTCCCTAATGGTCGTCTAACTCATTTAGATAAAGTCAGTTTGCTGATCTGTGGTTTGGTTGGGGGCTGGTAGGAGGAGGGGAGTCTAGGGATAAAGTGAGGGGGGATGGTATAAGGTGCTCTTTCTCCCTAGCTCTCCCACCTCCACCATCCACAGCTCCCCTCCTTGAAGAAGTGGACAGCAGAGTGACTAATACATACACACACACACACACACACACACACACACACACACATGGTTAAAACAAACCATAATATTGAAACAAACCGTAACATAACATTTGGTCTTCTAGATAACTATTAAAGGTTTTATTTAAACAGGGATATTCTAAACTGCAATTCTTTCCATATCCTTAGCATTGGGCTTTCTGTTTACTATTAAATGGAAATTTCTTTGATCAGTAAACATCTGATGTTAGGAATGGATATTTGAAAAATCACCTGTCCTTGGTTAACTGGAAGGTGTGCAGTAGGTCCATGCAAGGAAAACCATTAGCTGCCTCAGGTATAACTTAGCTCTGTCTGATGACATCAAGTTATTTGAGGAGCTCCTAATAAATAACATTTATTTCTATATTTGCCAATAAGGATGATTAACACTCACTTCTCAGTTTGCAACACATATTGTATTATAGCAAATGTAAAACAGAAGAAGTGAAAGTAATTCTTACCTCATTCTTAAGCTTGCTTCCAGAAAACCTAAAAAATCAGTATATTTTCCATTAGTTAAAAATACACATATACAGTAATAACTATCAAGAAAATGCACACAACCTGCAAAATAGCATACTATGATTAGTGAAATAAATCTGGAGAAATTTATTTGATGTTCAAAGAGATCCAAACATATTTTTCAACTTAATAAAAAATAAGTCTACTAAGGAAAAGTAAGATTAAGAATATGTAGGGAAGTCTGGTAAGATTTGAGGCAAACAAAAAATACTTGACATTAAATATCTGTGCGTGTTCTGACTATAATTGCACTTTAAATTGGGTAGGTAGTGGCTAGTAAGCCTCCATCAAGTCCTTTGTAATATCTGAGTTCATCTTAGTAAGACTCGGGTGACTACATTTATTTTTTCCCACAGGACACTTCAGTTTTAAAAATTATTCATTCTTTGAGAACTAAGAGCAATTATTGATAGAGATTTAATTATTCTGAGCACTGGAATTTAAAAAATAATAACTGTATATAACTGGGTTTCACTGAATGTCACTTCGCTTGTGAGTTACTTCCTTTTGAGAGTTAATGGCAGAGCAGAGCAAATGTGTTCTTTACATTCATTTGTGTTTTTCCTTTCACAGAGACTCAAAAAGGTGAGTAGTTTTATCTTACTAAGGTAAGCTGGGAGTCAGGACATATGTGATCGGAGACAATTGTAATAAACTTTTCATATGTGTAAGGTACTGGTCAAGCACGTCGATATTCAAACAGGTTTGTCTCTTAGCAAAAGAAAAACACACTTTGAATTCCTGCCTTTATTTTTACTGAATCCCGCCTAAAACAGTTGGTTCAGCTTTATGCATAAATACTAATTTAAAAGCAATTCTGCTTCCCTGATTTGTTCTTGTTGTTGTTGTTATTCATCTCTCTAGAATACCTGTTTTACCATTAATTTGTCACTAATGATTGTGAGTTATATAAATTGTGTGGTAATCTAGACCACATCACAGTAAATATCCATACAAAGTTGTAATGAAGGCCTGATGCTTAAAAAAATATTTTTATAAGTAAAATTAGTAAGTCATTCTATTCAATAAATATCATGCATATTTAAAGAGAGGCAGAGAATTTGTTGGAAGGTATTAGAATCCTACCTTGTCAGGCCTTTTCCAGAATAAACGGAGTGGTAATATGCACTGCTTTCTTTGATGCCAATCCCATAATAATGATACCTAGAACGAGGACAGGAACCAGCTGTGTGTTAATGAAAGGAAAAAGGATACTAAAGTATAACTGAAATAAAGCTCAAGTAAGAACTACAACCCATTGAGCACCTTCCTTTCCTGATTTTTTTTTTTTCAAGTAACATCTTACTAGCTAAATCCCTCTTTGATGGTAACTAATCTTACTTATGTTTTAAGTATATTTAAAATGTCCTTTTGGCTCTTGACTTGATAAAAAACAAAAACCCTACTGCCAATTTCCTTCAAACCTTTAAAAAGTTAGGTTTCAAAGCAAAAACAAAGTAATTTTAGGCACTTAAATTTGTAAATGTATGCATTGGCTCTAAGTATATACATAGAATGTATCTATTTACAAATGGCTCTATTCAATTTGAATTTCATCAACATAATAAAAAATTATAGATTTCCTTTGTAGTGTATCTGATAGAGAAAACAGTATAACATTACATGTGAGGAAGTCATTGATATCATGCATAGGAATATATAGGAAGCCTGTGGCCCTCTAAAAGTTGTTCCTCATGTGGAATGAGAAGCCCAATTCACTATCATTTTTCCTTCAAACTTTTGTACAACAATGGGGGGGGGGGGGGGACTGTGTCATGAATCAATAGCAATGTGAGTCACAGAATGTGTCACGAAGAATTTGTTATAAATGTGTCCAGGAACCCTGAGCCACAGGTAAGTATAGGACCTTATCTAGTCTCAAGTTGTGGCATATTCTCCTAGACTACAGACTCCTGGCATATGACACACCTAAGTGCAAAGACTACAAATGTTGTGCAGAAGCTAGTCGAATAATGGGTGTCTAGTGAGGGCGGCCACAGCCAGATAACCTCTGCTTTCAGTCTCCCTCTCCCACCCAAGCAGCACCACTACCTGGTGGTTACCTACCATTTCGATTTGCATTCACCCAAGATCAGGGAAGGGACGAGACAGAAGAGAACAAGGGGGTCCCAGTGTAACCAGATTTAACTTCATTTCTTAGCATCACCGTCTGAGTTGGAAGTGGACAAGTAAGGTTTTAAGTCCCAGGGCCCTTTTTCTGACCTCAGCAATAAAGAGATTTGTCACTAAAAGGCATGCATACAGCATCCTGTACTTAAAATCTGAGCACAATTTAAAATGTGGTAGAGATGGGAGAATTTCTTTTCTAAAATAATGTAAGTAAATCTACTAACTCCTGTAATCCTACAACTGAGACAGTATAACCCTGTTTATTGCTATCAGAACCACTTGTTCTCCATAGATAACTTGTGCTTCCCTACCTTAGGGCCTTTGCTTTGCTGAGCTCTCTCTCCACTGGCAATATTCTTCCTTCACGCCTCCTTTCTTATCCATGCCTCAAGGCATTAATGCATGAAGCTTTGCCTGTTCTCTGGTAAAAACTGATTTATCTTTCCTTTGAACTCCTCTTATGTTCATCCCATGTAGCTTTATACTACATACCATTGGTATGTGTAAACATATGGCTTACCTCCCCTACTAAATTATAAGATTTGGAAGAAGAGTATTGTATCTTTTCTTTCATTGTGTTCCCATTAGACATTACTATGAAGGAAAAAAATCTAATTTTTTGGATGAATCAATGTTCCTTGTTTAAAAATTTAGAAACTGATAAAACACAAATTATCTTACAGCCAATAGTTTTCAACAACCTCCTCCTAGCACTGTGTATTTCCAGTTCTCCAGTAAAAGACTGGTGTTGAACAAATGTTGTATACCTAACCATGTGTATAAAGAGCATGGAATCAGTGTATTTAGGTGGTAAGAATGTCGTTAGGAATATAAATATCTCTTTTGCAATGACCATTGTAATGCTTTAGCACGTTTCATATCCAGTATTTTTCTGGGGCTGATAATATAATTTTCCTCCTTTAATCTTCCTTTTAGTCTATCTGGTTACATGTTATGATCCGAGTGATGATTCAGTGTCTTTGAGAACAGAGAAGAGATAACAAATGAGCAACTCTCTGTCCTCCTAGCAGCTAAAAGCAAACCTCATAAAAGTGGGAAAAGCCATTTCATGCAACATTTACATGGATTTTTCCTCTCACTTGAAACATTTTGTAGCATTATTTTGTTGTTAATACTTTCCCCTAAAATAAACTTGATAGGAAATATTTGCCACAAATACTCTAGCATAACAAAATATATACTGGTGCACATTAAATAAAAAGGTGAAGTTTTCACTGTTTTAATTTATATACCACTACCTGATGCCTATTCCTAGGTTACTCTGAATAAAGATTCCCAAACAATCTCTAAATGTTTAATTTTTTTTTTTTACCAATTTTTAATACAGAAGATAAATAATAAATGCTCTAAAATCCTGGGTATGATTAGCTAGTTTCTTTAAGAAAATGAATTCATAACCCAAGTAGTCTTTGTGAACTAACAAAATTGTACTCATTCATTAGCATCAACTATACTTAGCTTTATATTAGAAATAAACAATTATTCACTAGTTTTTAATGTCTACATTTTAAATTTAATATGTTCTGAAATATACAACATGTTAATAGGACAAATGCAATATTGCTGCCTTTTTTTTACTACTAAAATATTTACATTGCGTCTAATACTTTTCTTCATTTGCTGATCTATTTATACCTACACCTATATTTCTTCTTTTCCATTTCAGTCATTATATAGAATTCCTGAAACATATGTTCCCACTGAGCAAGTAGCCTGATGTCCGTTTACACTACACAAATGATAACTGATAAGGAAATGATGGGATTAAGCTGGTCAGGGACTTGCAATAACTTACTATGATAAGAGCAGCTGCCGTATCAGTTTTATTAGCCCACTAAATCACCACTAATAAATAAGATAATAGCTTTTGTCCATCATGTCTGAAAACCAAGATTCAACTGATCAAAGTCTATAAGAAATTAAAATGTAACTTCAAATCAAACAGTCCACCTCTGCATGAAGAGTAGATATTCTCCTTTACTCCTCTGAGTTATTGGGAGCAAGGGTGGGATATGGGCTCTTTTTACTCAAAACTATATCTCTAGGGCTTAGTGAGCTTCAGGACACTCAATAAAATGCTTATTATATAAATAAATATTAATAGTGGATTTTTTTTTACACTATGTATTCTATCTTTGTATTCTTTGAATCTCAAAGACTCTTGTTTAACACCATGCTTTATACATCAATATAAATATGAATGATTGCTCATTCTTGATACAATAACACTTATACATAAAATAAGCAATACTTTTCATTACTCTTTTGTACCGATAGACTGTTGTTTTATTTTTATTTATTCAAAATCTAAATTTAAAGAGATTACAAAGAAAAATAATCAGAGATATATTTTCAGCATCGGTTGCAAATCAAAGAGAAGAGAAAAAAAAGGGCAAAAGCTGAAATAATATAAATAAATATTCAGTAATAGTATATTTAGGGCATTATGCTAAATACTACAATAAAATAAATTTTACAAAATTAATAGTAAAATTGGGAGAAATTATAAATTCCTGTTTTTCCAAAATATGTTTACATCTTCATTTATATTTCTGGTTCATCATTTGTTCATATTTCTAGAGTATATAATAATAACTTTCATAAAATGTAAATTTTGAATTATTAAACAGCCATTAGAAATGATTATTGTAAAGATATCTAATATACCAATATATAGGAATGTTTAGGACAAAATTAAAAGCAGGAAGCAAAACTGTTTGTACTACAAATTTGCTTTTATATAAAACATAAATATATTTCAATAAATATAAAATAATTAAAAATGCCTTATGATGGAAGCTTGAGAAAATGTTAGCTCTTTGAGAAAGAATCCAATAAAAATAATAAAAGTCCAATAAAAAATAAAATTTTAAAATTTAGATCAGAAAAAAAAACTTAAAAAAAACAAAAGTTGGATTAAACAATTGTTTTGTTGACTTGACTGATATCAGAAAGAGGTAGGCTTTACTATCTGACAAAGCACAAGCTGTAGAGCCAAATAAACCTTGACTTACATGCCAATATTGTTATTTTATAGTATCTGTGTGGGCTCAGGCAAGTCAATAATCTTAACTGCAGTGTCCTGATTTGTAAAACACAGGAATTCCAATCTTGTATTGTCATTGCAAGGATTATAGTGTGTATGTATATGTGTGTGTTGCTCAATAAATAATAACTTGAACTGCATTGCTGATATTTTGATACACTAAGTTATTAATTTCATATCATTAAGAATAGAAAGGTTGAGCTGAAACTGGTTTAGCTCAGTGGATAGAGCGTCGGCCTGCGGACTGAAAGGTCCCGGGTTCGATTCCGGTCAAGGGCATGTACCTTGGTTGAAGGCACATCCCCAGTGGGGGTGGGTGCAGGAGGCAGCTGGTCAATGATTCTCTCTCATCAATGTTTCTAACTTTTTATCCCTCTCTCTTCCTCTCTGTAAAAAGTCAATAAAATATATTTTTTTAAAAAGAATAGAAAGGTTGAAAACATATTCATTCCTATACTTTATTAAATTTTCAAAAGAAAACTATGAGGTAGATATTTATAACTTACTTAAATGATGAAAAGCTGAACAATTCATCTAGAGTTATACAGCTTTATATGAAAGTATGAAATTAAAGCTTAGATTTGTCCAACTTTAAACCCTAGGCTTCCAACCACTTGGAAATGCTGCTTTTTGATATGTGCTATCTCCTAAAATTAAAATTGAAGAATATTTCTTAGAAATATATATAAAAAAAAACAACAACAAGAAAACTACCTGGCTAAGAATAATTACATCAAAGCATTACCAATTACAAGATACACAAACTCTACATTTTGCCATTCTTTCAACATCCTTAGTTTACATTGGAAAATTTCATTTTCCCATGATATCAAAACACCAAACATATAATAGCAAGTTATAACAAGCAAATGGTACATCAGGAAGGTAGAAGAAAATTCAAATTGCTAATGCTTTGTTCTTGGGCATGTCTGCTCTTAGATATCAAACAAATTGCCTGCAGTCACCATGTATTGTTACATAAACCTAAACACCGGAGTCTCCCCGTGTCACAAAGGACAGGGTTAATGATTCATCCCTAATCCTAAAGGCTCCTTCTAGGATCAATTGACTTTCTCTGCAGCCTGCCTGCCCTCTGTATACCCTAGGAAGAGGATTTCTCAGCATTGCTTTGCCTCTTTTTTATTATCTATCTACTTCAAACACAAACTGATCTTTCCACCACACACAATTCAGTAGAAATCAAATTCAATAGATATCAGCCAGATAAATTGAGTCAACTTTGAATAAAAGCTGACTTGGTCAGAAGGAAAAATCTAATATATCTTTCAATCTGGCATTTATTTCTCCTTCTCAGGCCACAATACTGTTAACATGAGTTGGAATCAATTACATGAATACTAATTGATAATCTATTATGTATTAGACAAAAGGTAAAATATGAATATAAATGAGACAAAGTCTCTATCCTCAAAATACCCTCTGTTGAGGCGAAGATATAAGTTAACTTCACATTAAGGTAGGTTCCAATAGATTGCCAGGAGAGTACAAAAGAACCTACAGCAAATCAAGAGGCTAAGAAAAGATCCTGAAGAATAGAAAGTTCATGGGACATGCTTTTAAATGGATAATATTTCAATATGCCCATAAGGAAAAGGTCGTTGCAATGGAGGAAGACAGCCTAAACAAGGAAGAGACAGTTGAGGGTGAAGCAATGGATAGTAGGACAATAATTTGAGGAAAGCATAGGCTGCATGCTGAGAAATGAGAACTAGATTATAAAATAGGAAAATGGATTGGGACTAATTCATAATGAACCTTTAATGTCAAAGTGATAAAAAAAATTGTCTTTCATAGTAGAAATGATGAGCTGTTGAAAGTTTCTTAGCACGAGAGAAGCATGATTGAATCTGAACGTTAGAAGGTCAATTTAGAAAAAATTGTATTGAACAGACTGGGAGAACTGAGTCAAGACCAGGTTACTAAAGTGAGAACCAAGACACAATCAAGAGAAGTCCAAAAATAGGACCTCTTTTTTGGCAAGGGACTAAGACTGAGTTAGACAATAGGGTTGCCACCAGTCACATGTGGGTACTGACCACTTGCAATGTGACTAGTGTGAGTTGAGATGTGTTGTAAATGACAAATACACACTGGATCTCGAAACTCAATAGAAAAAGAGAACATAAAATATGTCATTAATTATTTTTATTTTGATCAGATAGTAATCAAATGTTCTGAATACATTAGATTAAAACATTAAAATCAATTCTACTTGTTTTTTAATGTGGCCACTCCAATTTTTTAAAGCTATGCAGCTGCATTATATTTTATTGGACAGTGCTGAATTAGACATTAAGGCAGAAAGAGATGCCAGTATGGTAGAAAATGAGGTAGGGGAAGGAAGAGGACCTTGGCAGGGCTGTGACAGAAGCCATCGAGCAAGTTTTATGTATGTATTTATGTTTGTATTTCCAGGTGCTTAGGAAAATGAGTAATAGTAAAGAGTAAGCCATTGGGTTTTGCCCAAATGCTAGCAAAGAAATGGACTGGAACAGAGACATGATTCACACTAGGGGAAGTGAGCAGATAGCTACTCTTTCAAGAAACAGCAAAGAGTCCTGGCCAGTGTGGCTCAGTTGGTGTGGCTTAGTTGGTTGGGATGTAGTCCCGTGAACCAAAGGGTCATGGGTTCTATTCCCCATCCAGACACATATGTAGATTGTGGATTCGATCCGCAGAAGGCAACCAATCAGTGTTTCTGTCTCTTTCCCTCTCCCTTCCTCTCTCTCTAAAAAGTCAATAAGAACATATCCTCGGGTGAAAATTTTTTTAAAAAAATTTAGAAGGAATTAGCAAAGATAAAAAGATTAACAGTAATTAGGAAGAGTAGTTTAGTAGGTTTGAGATTACTTTATTTTTATCAACATAAAAGAGATGTGGATGTGTTTTTAGGCAGAAGAAAAGGAAAAACTAAAAACTGAAGAGTAAATAACTGATGGACAATAACCTATAACTCTGGGTTCTAGAAAAATTGCCACAAGAGAAAAAAATTTATATAGCTAAAGTTACCAAGAGAGGGACTATATGACACCTTATTTTATTTCCTACTTATACTAAGAGATGAGCAAGGAGGTCATTTAGGCATGCTATTTGTCTTCAAGGAAAAAGAAGGGATCCTAAAAAATTATCTGAAAGAAAACCAGAGAAAAAACCTGAACCATGCTTCAAGCCCTGGCTTCGGCTTTGCTCTTTAGAAGCATGCGTTCCATCTGGTCACTTATTGAGCTACACCATTTCCCGTTCCTGACACTGGTGCCTTAAGGAGTGGCTTTAAAATTATGAAAATGATTCATTTAAATTTTTCCATCAGAAAAAAATTTATGATTTCTTTGTGTAAGTTTTTCTTTTTAAATAAACATCCTAAAACCCACTTATTTTTCTTTTTAGTTCTTACAGTTGTTAACCTGTTAACCGAGCGGGACGTATAAATACGTCAACCGTAAACAATATCAGGTACGGTTAGGACATATGAATACGTCCTTGAAATATATGTTGCGCCCTGATGTATATTTTCGAAAAATAAAAGTATTAGTCATCCATACATGTCTCGACATAATTTAAGACATGGAGGGAATCAGTACAATTTCACTATCGAGAGTGGTGAACGTGTTCTGGGTGAGCAGTGATGGGTATGTACTTACACTTACCTACCTATTTTCGTATTATATATTATTTACTTATATTTTTTATATCTCCAACCTTTATATAATAAAAAAACATATAAAATTGATCCAATCATCAATAATTTGTCAGAAAAGCTTAAAAGTTTTTATGTATGTGAACGAGAAATATGCGTAGATGAATCTCTTTTATTATGGAAAGGGAATTTATCTTGGAAACAATATATATCTACAAAAAGAGCTAGATTTGGAATGAAGTTGTTTGAGTGAAAGCCAATCTGGATACATACAAAATATAATTTTATACACAGGCAAGGACACAAATTATGGTTCGAACTACCCACAAGAAAAACAATCAACAAGAATTGTTTTGGAGTTAACACATGACTTACTGAATAAAGGGTATAGGATTTTCTTAGATAATTTCTATAGGTCAATTCATTTGGCTGAACTCTTGTGTCAAAACAATACAGACATTGTTGGAACAATGAGGATAAACAGTTGGAATCCCCAGTAAAATAAAAACAAAAAAATTACAGAAAAATGAACATATATAAGAATCAAAGATAAACTTATGGTTTTAAAATGGAAGGATAAAAAAGACATATTGATGCTCAGTTCTATTCATAATGACGAAAAGACAATGATTGACAAGAGAGGAAGAAGGCAAGAAAAACTGAATGTTGTCCTGGATTACAACAAGAATATGGGCGGCATAGATTTGGGAGATGGAGTTATGGTGGCCTACACGACTGCCCGTAATAGGGTAAAAAAAATTTATAAAAAAAATTTTTCTACGATTAATTGATATGTGCTACTTCAATGCATATATTATATACGAAAAAGATAAAAGTCATTTGGATTGATTACACTTTTTGATAGAGTGTGTAGAGAAATTGGTAAATAACAACATAGTGAAAACCCACCCAAAGACATAAACAAGCAGCTCTACATCTAAACCATCACGCTTAGTTGAAAGGCATTTTCCAGAACAAATGAAAAGCTATATAGGAAAAACTAAATCCAGGAAATGCCGAGTTTGCTACAAAAAAGGTGTTAGGAAAGAAACTACATACTGGTGTCTGGATTGTAAGGTAGCACTATGTATCAACAATTGTTTTAAAATATATCACACGGAAGTTGAGTTTTGAATTTTTACATCTATATTTCAATTTTTTAAACTCAATATTTCTATTTTATTTGTGTGCTTTTGTTTATTGTTCTGTAATTGTTAACTTTTTATATTTTTATTGTGTATAGAAATAAAAATATATATTTTTTGTAATCTTTATAATTATTTGTAAAATTTATAATTTTTTAATTAGATGTTTCCTTTTTTTGTTGGTATTCTTTTCTATTTGTTTGTAATTTTGTATTTTCCTTTGTGCTTTATATATAAATAAACGAAAATATATATATTTCATTTATTTTAATTAAGTATAAATAAAAAATAATAATATAAAATTACGTCCACTGGGCGTGACGTACTGACACGTCCTAGTGAAAGAGTATGCGCCTGTTGTACGTTGCGTAATTAAAAAGGGAACTCCCTGGTTAACAGGTTTAAAAGTCTGTCTCATCAAGAAGAAAATACCTGGTCTTATTCACCAACGAAGACAATACTTATTTCACATTGTGCCAATCAACATGCATGAGGTATCATATGTGCAGGTGTGATATATGTTTATTGATGTGTCTTACTTTGAATGGCCTCTTGTTCCAAGACGTCTTGTCGTTAAGAGGGGAAATTTCTGGCGAATTGTCTAAAAAGAAAGTCAATGACTTTAGTTTTCAGGAAGTGTGTGGTTCAATTGTAAGTCACCCATGGCTAATTCTAAAAAGTAAATGTTCAACTTCAAGTAAATATTTAGTCTGGAAGAGGAATATCATACACATATTGATAAGCAATAATACATGAGCAGAGGGAGGAAGGTACTTTTTTATGAGATTGTCCTATTTGGAAATTATCTCCATTTCCAAGGCAGATCATACCAATATGTGCTTTTACTTGATGTTATTACCAAGGCAATTATTATTTTATCTACATAGTAGAAAGATTTAGGCTTCTCATTATAATTCTACCCAGAGGTTTACCAATAACTAAATATCCATCTCCAACTCTGAAAAAAAAAAATACATGAAACTCTTTCTGCTTGACTGGATCTCCACAGCAGTGTTTTAATTTCCCCCCCTGTGTTTCTGTCTCTACCTTCACTTTAAAAATTAGCATCTGATTAAAGAACAAAAATCTCTTCTACATAAAGCAAGATTTTCATCTGGATTATAGGCGATCCATACATGATCTCCTAAGGACTCCATGGCAAACTTTATGTCTGTATTAATTTCTTAGGAAATGGTTTTGTAATTTTTAATCAGATTCTCAAGGTGTTTCATGACTCCCAAAACTAAGAACTACTGCCATAAGGTGAACTCATAAATAATAATGTTAACATGGACACTAAAAGTTGTCTTATCCATCCTCCTTATGTTATAGAAAGAGGGAACTTTTGAAGAAGTTAATTACTTTTCAGAAGGTCTCACAACAAATTATTCACAGTCTAGGCTAAAACCTAAATCACTGAATCACATGCACCATATCATATTATCCCTCATAAACAGATTTTTAAAAGAAGATAATAAATCATTTTATTTTTTTAAGAGGAGAAGCTGGACCATAGTATCATTATTTTCTGGACAATGAGTCCCTCTACAGGATAGAATTTGGATTTCAGTTTATATAAGTTGAAATGTTTGCGCCTTAACTAAGCTTCCTACTGTTTTTTCTGGAATTTCCTAGGTTCTCGGACAATAGAGCATGATAAGAATTTCAAAGAACAAGACTTTCCCAAGATATTGATAGCATTTCCTTATTCTCAAAATGAGATCAACCTATAGAAACACAGTAATGTCAGTTCTATAGAGTTTTATTCTCATCATATAGTTTGGGTTGAAAGAAATGTTTATAAATGAGAGAAATTTAACCAATCCCATCACACCTTGGAGTTTGTGGTGTAAACATACTCAGAGTGAAATGGAGAATTAAGAGAACTATTTATATAACAGAATAAAAATGTATTAAAAACTCATATACTCAAAATAGCTAAATAATAAACATAATCACCAATTGCATTGACAAGATACTTGTCACTTCTACTTAAATTTGCTTCTCAATACAGGCCAGACCACACTCTTTAATATATCCCTCATAGGAGGGAAATGCTATTGCTCACCTGGAGTTTCCTTTAAGATCGAATTAAATCTTCTGATAGCCAGAGTTCTAATACTCAAAATATATAGTAGTGCAAAGTAAAACATATAGTTCAAGATACAACATATAGTATGTAAAGTCAAAGTAAAATATATAGTAGTTCCAGATACAGCTCTTAAAAGACTTGGTTTATGCCTGAGAAACAAATTGCTTAAATTCTGTATGAAAACTTGTTCAGATAAATTTGTGTCCACACTGTCTACCTGACCTAACTTTAATTGTAAGGTAGTATGACCAATATGTGACTTACCTTTCCAAAGGTGGCTGCACAGGCTGGTTCCAATTTCTCTTTCCTGCAGAAATCTAAATAGTGTGCATAAAGGATGCACCGCGGTAAGCAAACTCCTTCACACACAATGTAATTCTCTTCAAGCCTAAGGAAAAAGGCAAAAAGTAAGATCAAACATTTTGTTTACTGCTCCTTTCCATTCCCCTTTCATATTAATTTGATGCCCATTTTGAATAGAGATCTTATGCAAATGAGTTCATGAATAGATATAAGCAGACTTCCTTTATTCAGGATATTATTCAAAATCAGATCACAGAATTAATGTCAGAAGAGTAAAAATCCCAATGCACATCTGCTAGTGCAGGTATAGCATAAGGGCTGACATAAAATCACTCCTGCGCCATCCTCACTGTTCATCAGGGTTTGCTCCGTGATATAAAAATATTAGTGGTGAAGTTGAAGATTGTTTTTTTAAAGAACATTATCAATGCTAAAGGGCTGACAGGCTTCAGGATGGTAAATGGCATACTTTATTCAAAAATTAGCTCTGAACCCGCATAGTTAGGGAAGTATGGTGATGCATTTATTTGGAAAATACTAAGAATAAACTCATTTCACTCAACTCCGAAATGGTTGAACTATTTCTATCCCGCACCTTTTAACTGTGAGCAGTACTTTAATTACCTAAGCCATTCTGCACACTTGAAACATTATGCAATTCCCTATAGATACCTACAAATATGACAAGTTCATTTCTATATTATAAATATAATATAAACTTTGAAAATATAGAGATAATTCTATTTAACTTGGACATCTATAAGTGCAATTGAATACAATTTATATAAAAGTAATGATATATATCTAAGGGTTACAAATATATGAACAGCAATCGAGAAATCAGAACTTGTAGATTCTATTTCTAGTTTTTCTAACAATTCAGTAGGTGATTTTGGCTAAAACTTGCCCATTTTATGTAGAGTAAAGTCATAATTATTACTATATGGGAACAATGCAATATAGAGCATACATTCAGATTAAAATTGGGTGGAACTTTTTAATATCTCTTATTTACATATTCCTCAAGGTACAGGAGATAAAAGGTAAAGGATATATTCCTCAAGCAGATAAAGCATCAGACATCTATTTTGCTATAAAGAAGAAAAATAAGAACCAAAAACAAAGATTTGCACACATAAAATCAAACACCTAGTTGGCAATGAAAATCTGAGTTACTCAGCCAGATTTTTCACTTTCACTTTCAGTTCTCTTACCATCCCTAACATAATCTATAAACTTAAGGGGAAATTCTCAAAATACAAATAAATCATTTCGTTTTTAAAATATATATATAACACATGTTTGATGAAAGGGTGTGGAAAATTTAAATAAAATGACAGGATTTTATAGTTTCAAAAAATATGAAAATCACTGAGAAGCACTCAACTATTTAAAAATTGTACATTAATGACATGCATGGGATGCCTCCTTTCCCCCTGGCTGTTTTGATGTTGTAGGCATTGCTTTTATCTTCAAATTACTGAGTAAAATCTTAGACATGCATACAAGGTTAATTTGGAGTTAACCAAATTTGGAGTTAGCTTTTTAAAAATCATAATGCATTCATATTTATAAAATAAAGACCCAAGTTTGTTTTCATTCACTTAATTTGAACTGGAAAAAAAAAGTGGAAGTGATTATTTAAAAGACCTCCACAATATATCTGAAATCAAAACATTTTTGCCCCAATTCTCCTAATGAAAATAGTTGTGTCCCAAATAGTTTAGATTATCAGTTCAATTATTTACTGCTCTGGTCTTAACCAGAGTAAGTGTGACATCAGCTTCAATAGTTAAGCCATAACTTTAGAAGATTATTGGTTTATATTTCAAATATTTCAAGGGGTTAAAATATATAATTATAAAAATTTAGTATATAAAACTGTAATTCAGTGTTATAATAAAGAAAAATAAAATTTTACTAATTTTTTATATTGGGTTTTTTGTATTTTTCTAAGATTTAGATAATACTTTACATATAAACAGAATATGTAACTAATCAATGAATAGACTTTTTTACTTACTTGCTTATTACTTGGAATTTGGGAGAAAGTTTATACTCCTATTTCTTCACACTATGAGAAGAGGTTTAATATTATAGTTTACTTTAAATCCTTCTTTTCTTTTAGATCGATACTACAAAATGTTCTTTACAGAGAAAGCCTACTGATAAATTCTTGGTTTTAAAAGATTTTCCACAAAATCCAATTTGTGATCTTTCACTATAATAAATCATACATGACAACTGCTATAAAAATAATTGAACATTTGTTTAAGTTATAGCACAGTGTCTTAAACCGATTTTTCTATGTGTTCTAATTCAAATGCATTTCATCTTATGGCCAATAGATAGTTTTTAATTTGCCTTCTTTTTTTTTTTTTTTTTTTTTTTTTTTTTTTTTTTTTTTTGCCCTCTTACGGATAAAGGCAATGTCAAGATCCCTCATCCTTTCAAATTATTTTTTTTAAGAGTTGTGTTTTATAAACACAAAGCTACCCAATAACAAACACATAAGGAGCAAACTGATCCCACGCTAAGCAAATAAGTCATAAAAGCATTCAGGACTGCTTCCATCTGAATAAATTCTAGTTTTAGTCCATAGTGAGCAAAGGGACGACGGTTTTATGTGTAGTGCACCTCATTGTTCATGGGTACCAGACTATGTCTCTATGCCAAATATTCAGTGGGGAGGGGAAATTGGGTACGTTTCGAATTTGTCTTTCACGCTTCCCACACACACACACAAAGTTTGAGGGAGAGGCAGAATGAGCAAAGCAGAGGTTCTGGAGATGCTGACTGCGGGGAGGGAGCAGGTGCGAGGCCGGCAGGCTTACCACTGCAGGGTGAGCTGCGTCTGCTTCTTCTTGTCCCGCATCATCTGCGTGACGGTCCTCTTCTGGGCCAGGAGCGGGTCCGCCGCGGGGGCTCTGCTCTCCTGGCTGTCCGAGTCCTCTTCCTCGGAGGAAAAGCTGCCGCTGCTTAAGTGCATCTCTGGTCGCAAATGAAACAGGTGGTAAAGAAAGTCAGAATGAAAAATTAGTGAGTCTCTTCCTGTGCCTTCGCGTCGCACGGGGCGGCTCTGGGTGAAGACCTACGGAAAGAGATGTTCCTGGAGGGAAACACCAAGATCCGAACCGAACCTTACGGTGTCTGTGCCTGTGTGTTTGTCTCTATTATCGGATGCCCTTTATGGATGCATCGCCCCGGTCTCCTTGCACCCGGGGCAGCGGGCACGCACCTGCCTTGACTCCGGGCCGCCGCTCCGCGTCCTCTCCGGTCTCCCCGCCGCCCGGCGCGCCCCCCGCCCGCTGCCCGGGGTCGCCGAGCGCGCCCCGGCCCAGCAGCCGCCCGCAGCGCCCGCCCCGGGCCTCCGCGGACCCTGGGGGCGAAGGCGGAGGCTGCGGGAAGGCGGCCTCCAGCTCCGGGATCGTGGCCATCCTCCTCCTGGCGGCCGGAGCCCGGGCACCGCCGCTCCGCCGGCTCCGGACCCTCCCGCTGCCGGGGGCGGGGCGGGGCGGGGCCGGGCTGGGGGCGGGGGGGCGCAGGCTCGGGATCCCCCCAACCCGGCGCCGAGGAGGAGGAAGGCAGGCCTGGCCCGGGCACCGCTCAGATCGCCCCGGGCACCGGGTGGTGTGGGGCGCGCTCTCCGCACCAGCCTGCGGGCCAGAGGATGCTCAGCTCCCGGCTCCCTGCCTCACCTGCCCGCCCGCTCGCCCGGGCCACGGAGCCCCACTCCCCACATCTCCTCCCCCCGCTCCCTCCCTCTCCCTCTCAGCTGGCACTGGACCCCAGCACACTTCACCAGCAGCCCAGACAGGAGACAGGCCAGAGAACGCTCCGTGGCTTCTCTGGGGAGAGAGCCGCTGTCCCCATCCCTATCCCCGGCGACATAAACGGTGCGCCCGGGCCTGGGAGAGGGGGACCCCAGGCCTAGGAGAGGGGGACCCCTGGCCTGTGAGAGGGGGACCCCAGAGCGCCCCTCTGTTCAGTGAGGCGCCGCCTGGGCCCATCCCAGGGGCTCTTCTCCTGGGCTTGGGGACAGACTCCATGGCATCACAGGAGTCCAGACAGACCTGCTGGGCGCTCAAGGGCTCCCAGTCCCAGGCCTTGCTTTCTTGGAGGTTCTTTCGCTTCCATTTACAGAATTTTGTTATGTAGCCAGCCAGGTGCCCTGCGGGCTCCTCATATCTTATAGCTCGGAGCAGTACAATGGACATTTCTTAAAGCGAAAATGAAATCGCAATACGTGTTTCATTTCCAATCCAAAGTGACAAGAGAGTCCTGTGTGTTGAAAAGGATAACATGCGCTCTCTTTAAGATGGAGATGTCAGTGGGGATGTGGGGCTGGTGCTGCCTGATGGCCACTGAAGAGCATTATCTTGCCCAGCCAAGACTGCGGGTATATTTAAAACTTTCCCACTTTTTAGCACCATTTGTTGACGACCAGATGGAGTGCGTTCCGAGTAGGCTGGGATGGCCTGAAGCATACTGCTTGGTGAGAAAGGCAGGGGGTCTCTGTCAAAGGCTGGCTCCTTGCCTGTTACTTCCAGCAGCTGGGTTCAGTGAACTGATAGTACTGATGTCGCTGAAAGGAAGAATCAGCATCACCTGTGACAAATGAGCAAGTCCTGCACGGAACGGAAAAGTTGTTTCCCAGATTGCAGCCGTTAGGGACGATCCAGCAACAGGAGAAGCACCTTCTGTCTAAAATAACTGCTCCAGCCAGGCCAGCATGACTCAGTGGTGAAGCGTGGACCTATGAACCAGGAGGTCATGGTTCCATTCCTGGTCAGGGCACCAGCGAGGGTTGCAGGCTCCATCCCCAGTGTGGGGTGTGCAGGAGGCAGCTGATCAATGATTCTCTCTCATCATTGATGTTTCTATCACTCTCTCCCTCTCCCTCTCTGAGATCAATAAAAAATATAATAAAAAAATAAAATAACTGCTCAACTAGTAGTTCTGATTGGGCCAGAACTCACTATAGTTGTTGCCAACCAGCTCTCAGTTTCATGAATAACAAAGTAATAATAATAATCATTACAAAGACAGGCGTGTGTCTTAAACTTAGAAAAGGGACGTCAGCTTGAATTGGGGTCCAGAGCTGATAACTCAGCCCTAGACCTGAAGCGTCTCTGTTGAGAAAGTGTGTTAAGCCCATTCACATGTCTAGACATTCCATTGGATTTTTCAGGGCTGTGATGAAATATCTTCTTGCCTTGTAACTTTCCATACTATAAACCCTAATGAGTGACTGATGTTAATAATATGTTTATTTGTTGTTCAGTAGCACATAGGTGCTTGTTATATTACTCTCTTTTCTCTAGATTAAAATTGTTTAAAAATAAAATTTTGAAAGCAGAATAGGTTTTTTATTTTTAATAAAATTTGTCATATAATTGTTTGTAAATACAAAATATTTACATAATTCTAGGGATACAGATGTACACATATGATATCTAAAGCTAGGGAAATATATGTGTTTCTTTATTACAATGTTATTACTGTTAAAAATGGAGAGAGTACACTTAAAATATTTTAATACTGACTTCTCTAGTTATTCACTCCGCTTTTTATTGAGTTATTTTATTCAACCTTGACATCCACTGTCTCCAGTAACCTTTGTCCTTCACATGTAAATAACTACTGACCTCTTTCTCCATTTCCAATAAAAGATGTTTTAATGGTCTTTTTAAAAATATATTTTTATTGATTTCAGAGAGGAAGGGAGAGGGCGAGAGAGATAGAAACATCAGTGATGAGAGAGAATCATTGATAGGCTGCCTCCTGCATTGCCCCCTACTGGGATTTGAGCTTACACCTCAGACATGTTCCTGGGAATAGAACCTGGGACCCTTCAGTCTGCAGCCCAACACTATCCACTGAGACAAATCAGCTAGGGCTAATGATCTTTTTTAGATTAATATAAAACTACTTGTATGTTTGCAATAGTGAAGAAAGAAAATAGATTAGGTTAGTCTATGTACAAAAGCAAATAATGTATTGTTTTATGTGTATTTGAGAACTGCTTCTTATATAAAGTTATAATAAATACATGTAGTAAGTAGCAAAACTATAATTTGCAAATAAAATTAAATCCTATATAATAAAAGCCTAATATGCTACCTGTCCAGTCATCCATTCAAACAATCAAAGCATAATATGCTAATGATATGCTAAGGCAACTCAACCTTATGCACTGACTACCAGGGGGTAGATGCTCCAACCGGTACTTGAGTTTGCTGCTGGGGTCTAGCTGATTGGGCCTGAGAGAGATGGGCTGGACACACCCTGGAGCCCTACCACGGTCCCTCCTTGGCTGGGCAACTTCCCATGTCCCTCCCTGGCCATGATTGTGCACCAGTGGGGTCCCTCTGTCTGGCCTACACCCTCTCACAATCCGGGACCCCTCAGGGGATGTTGGAGAGCTGGTTTTGGCCCAATCCAGCAGGCCAGGCCGAAGGACCCCACTGGTGCACAAATGCATGCACCTGGCCTCTAGTGTTAAATATTTATGTTAAACAGCAGCTAGTATATAGTAAATACCTAGTAAATATTTGTTATAAAAATGAATGAAAAGTAGTGGCAGCCCTCCATTCTCTCCTCCATGTAACCAAAAGTAAATTATCATGACCTGGGGATTTAAGGGCAGCCTGGGTCCAAGGAGGGCAGGCAGAAGGCTTCACAGAGAATGCAACCTTTGAACTAGTCTTGAAGGACTGGTATGCATTCAACGCATGGAAAACAAAAGGAACAGAATGTACAGAACAAAGGCAAGAAAGAACATGGCCAGTTGGAAAAGTCAGTAGTTGGGTGAGACTTAACTCACATTTCATCATGGGACATGTTGAAATGTGAGTTAAGGTCAGATCTTGAGGGGCTTGTTCCAGCTAAGAAATGTATACTTTATTATAAATAACAACAACAAATCATTGAGGGGTTTTAGGAAGAAAATCATCATAAAGAATGAGTGTGTTGTGGATTGATAAAACGAAGGCTTGAACTAGGGCAATTGCAATGAAGGCAAAAAGAAAGCAGTGATTCAAGACATATTCAGGATGCATCCATGCTGACTGTGATAGATCTGTTGTGGTATTGGTCCCCAGTGATTCAGGCACCCTCCACCCATGCCTTTGGTAATCCCCTCCTTTGTTGCCTCTGAATTTAGTTATTAACAAACATGCAAGCAGAAGCTCGAAAAGGTCTATATACTGGGCTTCACTACTCTTGCCAATGCTAGAAACCCTGAGACCACCACCATGTGGCCATTCCTGGGTTAATTTGCTAGAGTCATCAAACCCATCACTCCAGTTGACAGCCAGAATTCATCAAAAGCTAGAACCAACTGCCGGATGGGTGAATGATGTCCATGAAGCTACTTTAAAATAACCAGACTAAAGATGACTTGCTAGCTGAATGCAGCTGCAAGGGGAGAAACCCAGCCTAGCTGAGCTCAACCCACATTGCTGACCCCACAGCACTGTGTACTCATAAAGGATGGTTGTTTTAAGCTATTTTAATCTTAGGTGGCTTGTTACACAGCAAAAACTAACTGATGCACTAATGGATTGGTGACAGCTTTACACATTAAAAAAAAAAAGTTGGTTGAACTTTTAGAGACATCATAGTAGCTGTAGCAAGTGAGAAAAGCAGTTTTTTGGAAAATGAGTGTGGGGCAATTTTTAATTTTTTAAAATATATTTTTATTGATTTCAGAGAGGAGAGGAGAGGGATAGAAACATCAAAGATGAGAGAGAATCATTGATTGGTTGCTTCTTGCTCGCCCCCTACTGGGATGAAGCCCAAAACTCAGGAATGTGCCTTTGACCAGAATCCAGGGTGGGACCCTTCAGTTTGCAGGCCAAAGCTCTCTATCCATTGAGCCAAACTGGCTAAGGCAATTTTTAATTTTTAATGGGATTTTTTGTTTGTGTCTTTTTAGATGAAGAAGACTAGAACTCAAAGGTGAAGGAGATTTTGAATAATATAACTTGCTTTAAAGAGTTCATATAAAGATCAAATGCAATAGTATACACAAAACACCAGGTGAAAAATCATTGTTACCTTATAAGTCTGTATATAAGTAAATTATATGTACCTTACTTTCTATTTGACTTTTTAAGGAATTCACACAGGTAGATTTACATATGCAGATACACATATGCATCCCATTTTGGGGAGAAACTTAGGAGTATCCCAGTCCACTCTAAAAGAGCACCTGAGAGTTTCTGCTTATAGGGGGCATGTAATTTTCCCAGGCATATCTCTCCTTCCACCCCAAACCCAGAGAATTCTGCTGTTTGAAATGAGGTGTCTGCACGGAGACACACACTATGGGTAGTAACAGAGTAAGGTGTTCCAAGTCTGAACCCTTAATCCTCCTCAAATGAAGAAGGATGTAGTCCTTAAACATGTTTAATTTAATCCTCCAAATAAATTA